AATTGATGGACAGCTAGGAAATGGGAAGAAAGTGGAGGCTGCCCTTGGAGCCACAAACAGGTCCCTAGCACCCTGAAGGCAAGTATGACTGGAAAGCAGTTATCTTAAAATCTAAACCTTTATTAATCAAAAATAGGTATTAAAACTATGTGAAGCACAAAGAGACAGGTTGGCTGAGATATATAAATATAATGACCAGCAGACACATTAACCCAGTGCAAGGGGAGCTCACAGTCAGTGTTCTAGGAACAAGTTATCCCACACGCAGGATGAGCTCTAAGCCAGACCATCATAACAGAACAAAATAAGGAAAAGAAAACCACCAAGACAGTGACTCAATACCTGCAACCCAAACTAAACACACTCTATACAGTTGTTGCATTCATAGTATTTTCTCTGTATGTGTAAAAGACAGAAAACATGTTTAAATCCCACCAACTACACAGCTAATCCCTACCTGGGTCTCTTCAGCTAATTTAGCCCCCCCTAGCGTTACACGGGGCTCTCCTCGTAACAGCGGTTGCCACCTGCACCACGCTGCAGCCAAACACCGCCCTGACCCCGGGCTCTCCTGACAGACAAAGTGGCCGGACAGCCACATGACACGCATCATGCCAGCTCTCATGCGGAGTGTGCATGGTGCATGCAGGAATGTCCACCAGAGCTGTTGCCCGTGAATTGAATGTTCATTTCTCTACCATAAGCCGTCTCCAAAAGGCGTTTCAGAGAATATGACAGTATTCAACCGGCCTCACAACTGCCGACCATGTGTAACCACACCAGCCCACCACCTCCCCATCTAGCATTTTCACCTCCAAGATCGTCTGAGACCGGCCACCCGGACATCTGCTGCAACAATCGGTTTGCATGACCAAAGAATTTCTGCACAAACTGTCATTAACCGTCTCAGGGAAGTTCATCTGCATGCTCGACGTCCTCATCGGGGTCTCGACCTGACTCCAGTTAGTCGTCATAACCGGCTTTGGTGGGCAAATGCTCATATTTGATGGCATTTGGCACATGCTCTGGATCGGCGTACACGACAGCATGTTCCAGGTCCTGCCAATATCCAGCAACTTCGCACAGCCATTGAAGAGTAGTGGACCAACATTCCACAGGCCACAATCAAAAACCTGATCCACTCTATGCGAAGGAGATGTGTTGCACTGAGTGAGGCCAGGCCCCCCAGACCACCCCAATACAGTGAAACTGCACATTTTCGAGTCTGACTGACTTCAGATAACACTACTATTTCGGCAAAAAATCCCACCACAAATCCAAACACATATTAACTTCAGCAGTTCCAGTAAAGTGCAGCTCACAGTTCCAAACAGAGAAAGGTTGCGCTTCAGTTTTTTGATGATTATATCAGATGGGCAGAATTGATTAGCGCACAGCATAGCGTCCTAGGCAACGGCCTATGTCACCTATGCCACGGCTGGTCCTGAATGTAAAGGTTTCCATATACTGATCAAATGATATGCTGAAGTAAAAAGGTGATCATTGATTGAGGTTTTTGTACCTGAAGCTTCTAGGTAAATTCTGTTCCCATAAAGACCATTACCACATAACCAAATCAATATGAATCAGAAAACTAGAACACCACTTCAAGAGCAGTAAGAAATCCAGAATTTCCTGTAAAAAGGGTGACATTTATATATGTATATTTAAAATAATGGGGAAACATTCCTCTGTAACTGTAAATAATATACAGGATAAGCTTGACAAAGTGAGTGTATATTTAAGTCACAGATTTTATTTTTCACCACCTGTGGTTTTTAATAGGGACAAAAAGGAATTGCAATATGGACCCTCCATATCTGAGCCACATATAAGGCCACAGTTGGAATTGGATGATAAAGTGAAGCAGATCAGACCAGTGATTTCACCCACCTCAATATCCAGTACAGGGAGAGAATGAGGAGGATGGCGACTATAATCATGCGTTTCTTTTGTTGAAATTTCATTTGTGGAGGCTAATCAAGGTGGACATACATAATGCCTCAGTTCTGCTGCATTTGGCTCATCAGTGTCTCCCTGATCCAGGCGCAGAAACCTGGAAAAGCAGAAGTACAGTCCCCTCCAAAGGTATCAGAATGGTAAGGCCTTTGTTTTTGTTGTTCACTTTGGGTTAACTCTCGTCTCATACTCATCTTTTGATCTTAAACCCAAATGTCTTCAGTGAACAACAAAAGGCAAAAGGAATTTGCCTTACCGTTCCAATACTTTTGGAGGGGACTGTAAGTGATTGATGCTTATATTTTCCTCACATGCTTCAGCTCCAACTTCTCAGACGTCCTCAGTGGAGAAACAAGGCCTGTAGGGAATACAGTGTTCATTTCATTCCACAATAGGAGATAAACTGAACAAATTAACATCCCCTTATTGCAAACACACAAAACACAGGCAGCACTCGACCTAACATTTGTGTCTAGTGCATTGGCAGGTTTAAGCACGTGGAGTGTGATAAAACATACTACAATAGGAAGTGATAACTAACCTGTAATATCTAAGTAAGCTGTTATTGAAGGTTATTATAATAATGAAAAGAAAATTCCCAGATAGAAATTGGGCAAGGCTAACTGGGGTGCTTTCCAAGAGATCAGTGCAAACAGATGCAGAAGCAAGGTGTTGGGATTGTTTTATAGAGTTTGGCATATTGGCCTTTAGCGTGGAAACGAGCTATGATAGATAGATAGATAGATGATGGTAGAGCTTATAATTGGGTTATGAACCTTTTATTTGAAAGTAACCGGTGCAGAATACTCCAGTGTATATCGGGTGGAGAATGGGACTCCGCAAGGTAGTGTGTGTAGCCCACTGTTATTCAATATAATGATAAATGACATCTTCTCTTATGTTGAACAAAGCGTAGGGAAATATTTGTAAGCAGATGACGGGGCTGGGTAAGAGGCTGCAAAGAGTCTCAGTCAGTAAGAAAATGCAGGCAACAATGGTTAAGGTTGAAAAATTTGGCAAATAAATGGGGATTTATTTGTAGCTAAAACACATGTTTCACAAGGCGGCATAAAGTCACACCTATTTCCCTGACAGACAATCTCTTGAGCAAGTTAAAGGTACAGTGGGTAATATTTCTGAGGACCTATTAACAGAAATGCAACATAAAATCCATAACTATGTTTTCAGTGGTGTGTAAAGACCTTGCATATTAAACCATTATGTTTTTATTACCTTAGAATGAGCCATTTAGATCTACATAACCGTGGGTACTCCCTTCCATGGATGTCACCACGTTGCGTCTTCATGTTTATCGGAAAACGGACAAGCAGCACTACAGAGCATGTTTCGTCACTATGTTCTTCTTGTTCTACTTCTGGTAGAATTCATGCAGTGTAGACACTCATCACCACGTTGAATACATACGTTTGAAGAAGAAGTAATAATATACAGCAGGGGTCGGCAAATAAGTGTTGCATTGTATCAACCGTTAGATGGTCGTTGAGAATATAACGCATAATATTTGATCCTGTTGTTATGGTGTTCATTTAGCTCAATCAGTAAAGCACTGGACTCTCACCTGTGTGTTCGATCCCACCTCAGGACAATTTTTTTCTCTCCAACAAATGGTCTCTGCAGCGACTGTGTTTCAGGCTCACATTACTGCGTGTGCTGCACTGTTTTGGTTTCGGTTACATTTAGGGGAATCACGTTTTCTGACAGCTCTTTCAGAGATGTGTCAAGCAAGCTACAGACACTTTTAACGCTGTTCAGAAGTTTTCCAAGTAAAAGCTCTCAATTCAACTCCAAGTAAAGCATTACAGCAAACAAGCTGCTTGCGCTTTTATTTTGCAGGCAAAACCACTAATGATCAAGTTAATGTCACATTAAATTGCTGTGGAAGTTCAGGTTAACGGCTACTTACGGGAATTTTCAAGAGGGTCCAACTGCAGACCTCCACTGTGGAAACACTTCCGGTGCAGACCTCCACTCTCAGGTCGGCTCCACTGTCAGGAAAGGCAATACATACAAAAAATACAATATAAAATTGTGCGATTTGACAGGAAACGTATTCAAAAATAATAAATTTTAATCATGCAGACACTTCTCGGGGAAGGGATTTTGTTATTGAGTTTGAGTAAAGAATTTATTTAATTCAGGGTTATTAGTTCTACATTAACATTATTGGGGAGGGGTTTACGCAAGCCTGTATTTCTAAAGGCCCAGGGTGACCAACAGCGACAGATCTACCAACCAATCAGATGTGATTGAGGATTTGGTGATGTCATTTGTTTCACCCAGTGACTGAGAAACTAGGTCGGGTCGCTGCCGCTTTTCTTGTGGTAAGTAGAGTCGTTAACACCTCCACCAATTTCTTAATAAATCTACCTAAACAAACCTCCTTTATTGACTGACTACTCTCTACTGTCAATAGACACCTTTTGTCCTGTGTCAGCCACCGTAGCTGTCCTACGCTCCTTGAAAGGGTAGGGGCAGTAGTAGGACAGTTGGTTGCAATTCGCAACCTCACCGCTAGATACCACTAAATCTTACACACTGAACCATTAAAGCAGTTCAGGGTTTAAAAGTCATGAAATCAACACAACTCTGTGAAGGCTTTTAGTTTTACACGACAATCTTTCGGCGACACCAGAGCCCTGAAAGACAGGCATACTACTTTCACTTTCCATTAGGCTAATGGCAAATTAAATTATTATTTAGTTTCTTCAAAGCAATTGTAGGCTACGCACTGAATAAAAATCTTAGTCAGATAATCAGTGGATTGGTGGATCGATGTCTGACAGATAACTTTTTTAATTGAATTTCACCAGTGAAACTAATCTTGGCTTTCACTCAGGTTACCAGCTTTAATTTATTCAGGAAACAATATTTTTTGATCTGCATATGCAGATGGACAACAACAGTCCTGTTGGGCTTTACACATGACGCACAGACAGAGTTGGGAAGTAATCGATTACATGTAAAAAAAAAAAAAAACATTTTTTTTTAAGTAACTGTATTCTGTTACAGAAAAAAAAGACATAATCAGATCACAGGTACAGTTTGTAAAATCGGGTATTACTCATAGGGATTACTTTAAGCAGAATGTTTCCATAAAAATGGAATCTGGCATACCGGGCAAAGATGCATCTTTGTGGCCAGTGTAACGTAAATTATTTATTTATTGACCTGTTAAAAGAAAATGGGCCAACGACCGGCCCATAGAGCACAGACAGTGGCCTATTGTGGCCTCTGTTTCATGCGCTGCGCGGGCTAAAAAAAAGTCTTCAGACAGAGGCCGCCAAATGCGTGAAAATAACCGATCGGGGTAGGGTTAACCGGTATGTTTGCTACTGGGGCTGCAGTACCCAACATTGTGCAGGCACAGGCACTTGAAGGAGTGAAGGAGAGCCTTGGCCACTGCCAGGCGGAGGAGGAGGAGTGAGACAGCGAAGCAGAGTCACTGTGATATTGCTGAGGGACAGAGAGAGCAAGAGGACAGTGGAGGAGAAACGGTAAGCATGGAGTAGCTCAACCTCTAGGGACATGTTTAAAATGGCAGATGTTGTCCCTATCACCTTTTGAAAGCATTTGTAAAAAATTGTCTGAAAAACAACTTGCAATAAGAAATGTTAATTAATGCTATAAGAAAGGTTTATTTGCACAGTAAAAAAGCTAGACATAACATTCATATTTTAAATATAGAAGAAACATCTGCGTTGTCCAAAAAAAGTAACTTAAGCTAAACAAAAATAATAAGCTACTGATTACTGCATTATATTATATTCTATTTTTAGATTCTGAATTCTCACCTGCCACCTGAATTTCCCTTTATATAAATAAAGACTTTTTTCACCACATTTCCACCATAAATTGGGGCAGTAAATGCCTCAAGAATGCAGGAAATTAAGTTTTAAATGCTCAAAATCTTCTGGGGGAGAAACCCCAAGATATATTGTATATTATATCACTAAATAATTTTTCTAAATAGTATTAAAATATGCTCTTGTCTTGTTCTCATGACCCCAATCTTTGCAGTGTCACGTCTCAAGTGTTTTGTCACACCCGTAATATGAGCCCTTAAATGTCCCCACCCCTTTTCAACACAAAGTGATGCCCTTGTGTAGAGAGATGATTATCTCAATTAAGGTCAATGATTATAGCATAATCATAACGCTATTATAAAGTGAGACTGTCACCTGGTGATTCCTCACAGCGCTGCATAAGCTATTTGAGATTTTTTTCGTAGCAGTCTTAACTGAGATGAGGTTATTTTGTCAGAATCGCGTTGGCTAATACCACGCTGCTGTGAAAATGACTTGTACACTCTAAAAACTATTACTGGGAAGAAATTAATTTTATTGGTGAATTTTATTTACACTTAAAATATTACCTAATATACCTAATGAATTTAGTAAATGTAAGTAAAAAAATTAAGTAGATCTGAATATAAAAATTTAGTATACTGACAGATAAAATTGAGTAGATATAATTAAAATCTTAGCTCAATGTAACAGTAATACTTGAGTAGATATAACTGAAACAAATATTCAATGTTATACCTGAATTCAATTTATATTTTATCAATTATTAAAATAAATATATGTTACATGTACTTGTTGTTTTTTTTTAGCTATATTTACCCTTTATGTCTAGGAGTACAATACACTTCTAAAAAGCAAAGCAACTGAACACATCACATTTTAATTAGACATTTATTTGTGCAATCACTTTACAAAATGACAATATAAATTACAAATGACATATGTCCACACTATAAAAAGTGAGCTCAACTATGCGTATTAGTAAGCTGCCTCTCAAAAATTGAAAAATCTTAACAAATGAACAGCTTTAATGCCTCTTCTTTTATTCCCTCATATAAACCACTTCCCTACTTTCTCTTGTTCAGTGAGAAACGTAAGCTCTGGCTAGGATTGGAGATATCTGAGATATTGTGGTTTTTAACTGCCCATGGGGAGAATGTACTGTACATGTGAGATTCTGTACATTCATTAAAAGCCATGTGAGGTCTCTTCTCTTTCGTCTCGTCCCTTCCTTAGCTTTCACCCTTGCGGACTTGACTCACAATGCTTATCAGAATGCACAAATTTGATTGGCTGAGCAGCATCACATGAGACGATTGGAAAACATGCGATTAGTCTGTGAGTTTCCTGGGCCGCTAAGCCAGTACAGTAAATGCAAGAAAAGCTGTTAAAGAAACGCTCCGTCACGAGGTAGTAAGTCTCAATTATAAATCGGCTGTGGGTCTGCGGTCCGGAGAGGACGGAGTCTGGGTCCGTATCCGGACCGTGCTCCGCCAATTAGTGACCTCTGGAATATGACATTCATAAGTATGTTTTCATTAGGGTATAATCACCTATAATGAGCCTTTTTATGTGTACAGACATTACAGGTTCCCCTTCGAGGGAACTCGAACTGCGTCGGTTACGACACTATGGGAACGCCTCTAGGCGAAGCAGGTCTGAACGTGAATGAAATCACTCCAATCCTATTGGCCTGTTGCTAGAATGGTAAGGTGTGACGGAATAACCGGAGGAGTATAAAGCACACCTGTACACACTCATCATTAGCTTTTTTTTATTCAGCAGGCGCTCTGTATGTTGTTTGAAGAAGCTCCAGTCCTACAAGCAGTGTGTCTTACCTGAAGAAGAAGTCTACCAGCATGTCCGGCAACCAGATGTACAGAAGGTGTGTTTTTTCTTGCCCTCGGTACATCACGGATGGAGATTCTCATGAGATATGTGTCTCATGTTTGGGGATGGAGCACGCACGGGCAGCTCTCGAGGGGGCTGCCTGCGCCCGTTGCGAAGCCCTTTCCGTGCGGGTACTGAGGTCCCGCATGGCTCTCTTTTCCGAGGATGGCCGGATGTGTTTTCCCCGTGGCGCGGGCCCTGCGGCCGCTGAGGCGGCCCGGCGGCTTCACTCATGGGTTCACAGCGTGATCTGTCGGAGGATTTCGGGACGGCTGAGGCTTTTTCCCGACCTTCATCCGCTGGCTCCGACGCTTCCTTTCCTCGTTCGGGAGCCCGTTCTCGGCTTCTCCCGCTCGCGGTTTTGGATCCGGAGACGCTGCAGCAATCCGACTCCGAGGAGGCGGACGTGCTCAGCGCAGTCGACGATGACTTCCGGGTGTCGGGGCGGCGTCATCTGGCCGCGCCCGACTATGACGTGCTGCTGGAGGTGGTGACTAGAGCCGTGGCTAAGCTCAACATCAACTGGCCACAGGAGGAGCAGACACCACAGGCTAGTGGTAGCTTGATGAAAGGTTTCTTAAGCACCACACGCCACCTCCACGCCGGTCTCTGCCATTCTTTCCTGATTTACATGATGAACTGAGTAAATCATGGGGCAGACCCTTCTCTACATGGCTTTCCACACCCCGATCACTGAACTACAGTAATGTGATGGGGGTTAGGGACCGTGGTTATGGGAGGATGCCTCGGGTGGAGGATGAGCTTGCGAGCTATCTCTCCCCTCGACTTGCGTCCTCCCTGGAGAAGCCGGCGTTACCATCCAAACCATGTCGCACCACATCCACGCTTGTGGGGAAGGCGTACATGCCAGCGGGCCAGGCAGGTGCGAGCTTGCACACCACGGTGCTTCAAGCCTACCAAGCCAACCTGCTACAGGAGATGGTTCAGAGGGGGGGTCCCTCCGAGGAAGATCCGGCAGAGCTTCACAGAACCACGAAGCGTTAGACGCAGTGCGAAGCGTTCCGCCAGTACCTCCCTCGCCGGTCTGGACCCAAGGCAGCTGAGGCTGCCAGGCGTAGGTCCCTTCCCTCTACGAGCTCCTACGGAGAGGAGGGAAGCAGAGTGTCGCTTCTCGGGGGCCCCCCGAGGAGCTGGGGCAGCGAGACGGCGCTCTCACCCTCAGCCGTCTGAGAGACGCGATCTGAGGACCGTCATCCAGTCCCGACGGAGCTCAGGGAAGACCGGGGTAGGGGAGTCTTTCTCCCCTCCCGCACCCCCCCCACCCCCCCCGG